TGTAAACTCCCAGTGTGTGTCGTTAGCTTATTTGGAACGCAACAGTTTTCACAGTGTTCAAGGGTCCTAAAACTGTCAGCACCAGCTTTTGCAAGGGAGTAGCACCTTCCTTTTATAGTTAGGGACACTGAGTCTGTAGGGATCTAGGAGCATGCGGGTATCTGCTGAGAGAGGGGCACCCCCTCGGGCATCTGTTTCTGACTCCTGGCTTAAGCTTACGTGGGTGGATGGGAAGGAGATGCATGGACCCTTCCCAGCAGCCCTCTGGGGTTCCAAGGGAATGAGCTCCACTTAGCAGGTGAGCAAACTGAGCCTCAAAGGGTTTAACTAACTGGTCCAGGTTTGTCTCGTGCATCAAAGCCTTGGTGTTCTATTTTAACCCATCTGACAAGAGTCAGCTACACCAGGCAGAGGGAAGATGGGCATCCCAGCAAGCACTGTTTGGAGGTGAAGAGGTTGACTGCCCATAGCTTCAACCAGCCCTGGGGCCAATGCTGCTCTGTGCCTGCACTGTCTGTAGAGTGACAGATCTGTTAATGACGCTTAAGGGCCCTTGGCTGGTGGGTAATGGTCTCCCCCGATGATGGAGCTGTTACTGTGAGTTCTTTGTGAGTAAAGAGCCCCAGCTGTGACTGTGAATTTGTGAGGAGCACAGCAGTCCACTAGGAGTCCTCAGGGCAGTGGCTCATCCTGGGCTTGGAGATGGAGGCCCAGGTGGTGACTGAGGTGGGGGCAGCTGCCCACATGAGGCTTTCTGTGAGCTGAGCATGGACTCCGGGTTTCTTTTCCATCTTGGGGGGAGAGCCTTTGTTACCACTTGGGGAGGGAGCAGACTCTTTCATGGAATAAAGCCAGAGGCAGCGGGTGCCATGGTGGGCCCTGGACTGTGATCTCTGGGAACCAGGGTCTGTCCCTATAGAAGTCCCTTCCTCTTTCTGAAGTAAGGCTCTAGATTGAGTCATGCAGGTGCCCAAGAGCTCTGTGGTTAAACATGACACTCACGAAGGGGGCGGGTGCTCAGCAGGGTGGGCCAAGATGGTCATCCAGCAGACACTCTCCCCTATAACCTGGGGATGGGGGCTTGGAGGAGCACTGAACTTGCAGACATGAGGTACGGGGCTCCTTCTGGACTGGCACGTGTTCACAGGGTGTGGGGCAAAGTGAAAATGCATTTTCAAGAGTTTCTGGATGATGACAACAGAGCCTGAAAACAAGTGCGGGGCTGTGCAGCTGCCCAGCTCACAGGTCACTCGCCTGGCCCTGGTAATTGGGAAGCACCCTTGGGTAAGGAGGAGGGTAGGACGGCAGGTCCCCCCGGCCCTCCAGCTCATCCCAGGGTCAACATTGGCATTGCTATAACCACCGTGAGTCTCCAGAATGGGTTCCACTGTCTCAGGTGTCAGGGGAGGGTGGCCCAGGGTGGTGGACTCCACAGGACACACCAGACATAGGACTTCACGGTTGGTGGGGACAGTGGCCCAAGGACAGGTTTGCTTTCCTCTCCATGCAAGCCACTGTGCACAGACACTGTTCATTTCCTCATGGGCGCCCCCCCCACCCCCTTCATTCATCACTCAACACCCCCTGAGTTCTCAGCATGTCCACTTTGTGCCTAGACCTGGGGACTACAGCAAAGTGGGCCACATGGAGACTGTGTGTCTCCATGGAGCACACAGTCCAGCAGCCTCAGGGCTTCTGTGGTTGGGGCCATGGTTGGCTTTTAGGGTGCAGGTCTATTAGGCCAGGCCTGGGGGACTGTACCTCACAAGCCTCCAAGCATCTACATGTCCCGGGAGAGGAAGGCAGGTGCTCTGGAGATTTGGAACAATGAAGAAAGTAAAGCCACAAGACCCCTGGGCTTTTTGGCACAAGAAGTCCTGGCTCTGCTGAGTGAGTGACAGGTAGGCTTCTTGGTGCCTCAGCACCTGAAGGGTTTCCTCAGCAGTGAAGGGGACAGTTGTAATGGCTGTGGTCAGGCTGTGTCAGTTAGGGTCAGGTGGGCTCACACACAGGCAGAGCAGGCATCCAGCACCCTCGAACTGATTTCCATCCTTGCAAAATGGGGACCAGTCCTTGCACTGCCACCCAGGGCCAGGAGGAATGAGAGGAGATGCAGAAGTGACAGTAAAGAGTGGCTAGTGAGTGCTCCAGCCCATCCCTCCTCAGGCAGCAGTTGCTCTCATTTCTGTCTTTTCCTTGGTCATTCTGGCTCTCTGGGCAAGATTCCTGTGGGCTGCAGGGAGGCCCCACTCATATACCTGATTCCTCTCCCCACCCAGGTCTGAGGTCCCACAGCCAGGTGACCCAGAGTGACCCAGAACCACTCCTGGGACGAGGACTGCAAGGACATGTCACAAGCTTTAGTCATTGAAATCACTTTCGATAGAAGCGTCCTCTGAAAACACACGATTTTGGCCCGGCAGTGAGGAGCCCATTCTTGCATCCAAGGACTTGGGTTTAAATCTGAGTTCTGTCGCCTGGTGAATGAGTGGTTTTAGCAGAAAGTTGATGCTCTCTCTGTTTCGGGGTCTTCACCTGTGAGACAGGGATTATAGTAAAGTCATCTCCGGGACTCATGGGGTTGTGAAGTGCTGAGTGAATGAACCCCATAACACAGCACCTGGTCCACAGCGACCAAGCTGGAGCCAGGGCCTGAGCCACGGTCTCTCTCATCAGCTGTGGCTGTGGCTTTGGATCCTTAGCTGTTTTGTCCCAACAGGGCAGGAGACCAGGGGACGTGAAGGGTGACGGTTTGCTACTGAGTTTGCTGGCCAGGTGAGGTGCCCTGACAGTCTGACCTCAAATTGGGGTCTTTCCTGCTGCCTGCTACCCACGGAGTGAGGGATGTGGACAGGGCTGCCCTGCTGTCTGGCTTCTCCAGCTCCAGCCCCTTTTGGTGGCTTCCTTACTGCAGCTCGGGCAAGGACAGCCCCAGTTCTCCTGAATCGGGAGTCTCCATTTGGCTTATTGAGTTAAGGCCATGCCAGTAGAGCAGTTCTGTCCCCAGCACAAGGACTGTGTGGTGAGTTCTCTCGACGGAAAGATGGTGACATGTGAGTGCGTGGCCAGAGTGGGGAGGGGCCCCTGCCTGACTTCGTTGTGTCTGTTTTTGTCTTAGTCACTTGTTGTATTTCTTCCAACAAGTGACTTGAATGCTCGTTACATAGCAAGCACTGAATCCAGAGCCCAGTACTGGGGACATGAAATAAGACAAGGTCTTTACCCCCAAAAGATGATGCTGTGAGCTGAGTGAGGGTGGGGGGAGCATGGAAGGGGCTGAACCCCGTGTGGGGCCTGAGAACCTTCCTGGAGGTAGTTTGGGTTAGGCAGAGACCTGAATGTTGGTAAGGAGTGGACCAAGAGGTAGGAGTGGAGTCAGAGATGTGGGAACCCAGCATGGAGGCACAGCCTGTGTAAAGCCCTGGCCAGCCTGGATTTAGCATGAGGGGTGAGCTAGAGCTGGGAACCTCCCCAGAGAGAGGGAGGACGTCATCTTGCTCCATGACCATGAATGTACAAGCAGCACAACTGGGTCCAGGGAGACAGTGGTGCCAGGGAGACAGCTCCCCTCTTACCAAGGGGAGTTCCAAACCCAGCAGGGTCCAATGTGGCCTCAGAGGCCCAGCTCTGCCCTGGAGGTGTGTGAGCAGAGCCTTGATTCTAGCCTTTGGGGATCAGTTTTGTCACCTGGACAAAACTGACTTTGAGCTCCAGCTGTCACACTCTGGCTCCTGAGAACACCCTCTAGGGACAGCAGACCATATAAAATATAAATCAATAGGTTAAAAATACGCTTGTCTCCTGCCCATCCAGGCCCTGTCACTTGCCTGCGTCCTCCATCTTCAGAGGATCCAGCTCTAACTTTGGCAGGCCGAGAGCTGGCAAGAGAGAATCGCTTTGTTCCTGAGTAAGGGAGAGCCAATCTTCCCCCGGAATGACAAGGCTCGCTTTTTTTTTTTCCCTTTAATCATCACTGCCTCTCAGCTGCACAGCGTCCCGTCTCGGCTGACATCCTGTCTTCCTATCTTCCTTGCTCTCATCAGCGGGGGAAAGGCAGACATTTGATCAGCCAGGCTGCCGGCTGCCACAGCAATGCCCCAAAGACCAGGCTCCCAGGAAGTTCTGCTCCTGTGAAGAGAGGAGCCAGAGTGGTGGAGATGGCCAGTGTGGTGACCCCAAATTAACCAGAATAACAGCCACACAGGAAACCTGAGGGTGTCCCAGTTATCTTCCAGGGTTCCCATGGCAATGGGACTGTTAGGAGCTGCTAACGCGGACTGGCAGCGAGTGAAATGAAATTTGATGAACACGAGAATGCTGTAGCTACCCAAGTAATTGGAGATCAATCTCTTCTTCCCACGGGGCCCGCGAATTCTCATTGTGGTTTTTTTTTGGTTCTCGTGTTGGTTTTGAGGAATGTTTGAGTGCTCTTAAACGCATTCATTTTCATTTTCTAAACAGTTGTGTTTTCTGCTCGGCTCTGTTGTGTAGGGCCCATGTGCGTGTCCAATAGTTGAACAACAAAAGAGAAGCGTGTGTGTGTCCGATGATTTATGGATCCCCTCCGGCCGTCTCTGCGATCTGGGCCACGTCCCGTCTCCCCCCCACCCCCCACTCTCCTGTCATCAGCCCTGCTGTCAGGACAAGTAGTGGCAGTGTGGCCTGAGGGTCCTGTAGCTCTCTGGGTGACAGGTGACAGCCACTTCCACGCGTGCAGGGGCTGCTGTGACACACAGGTGGGGACATCCCATCCTCAGGAGATCGCCAGTGCCTTTGGTTCTCGTACTGGGGTCACAGTCTCTCAGATTCTCTGAGGCCGGGTTTGAACGATTCCCACCAAGTGACCACCATGGGGTGCGTCTCGTGGATCTGGACGTCAGAGTCATTCTGAAGAGCAGAACACCGAGATGCTGGGGGCGGGGGAGGTAGGGTGCCATAGCATCTTTCTTTGAGAACCTGAAAATCCACTGATGTCCTTTTCCTTTCTGTTGACCCCACAGGTGATCTTGATCCTGACGAAGTACTACCATGCAGACATGGGGAAGGTTCTGGAAAGTTCTCTGTGGCGGTAAGTCAGCCTGATGGGAGCAATGGGCCTTTCTCCTCCTGAACCTGTATGTCTTCTCCTGGGCTCTTGACTGAGAATGAAGACCCCCAGATGCCCAGCTCTACCAGCGGGCGTTGGTGGCCTGACCACTTTTCTATGGCTAGAAAATGCATCAAGGAACTATTGAAGGCAGATCTGGGGTTTTGCCCATCACACAAAGGTGCTGGTGATGGAGGAGTGTCCAGAGGTTCCTTTGCTGGCTCTTTTCTCCCTGTGGTCTTCTTCCTTCCCTTTTGTCTCCTCCAGGAGGAGGAGGGCGTTCTTCGTGAATCCAGGTCAGCACACAGTTTCCTTTCGCTGTGCTCCACGTGCAGCTCCTGCAGCCCCCACCCAAGGCTCAGCCCGGCCTCACTGTTGGTCGTTTTTCTTTCTTTTGGACACAGCTATAAATACATAACACCCCAGGAAGGCTATCTCTTTATATGTGAGATGTGAATTCAGCCTGAGGACACTAGCTCTCCCTTTGATGTCTTAGAGGAGAAAAGAGAGAAGGGCTTGAGAGGCCATTTCTGTCTCTGTCACCTTCATTGCTGTCCACTGGAGGGTGATGGCCTCTCCCCCCAGGAGGGTTCGGCTGCTCTGACAATGTTGTGGGGCTGGAGCCATTTTGGTCTCCACTGTGTGTTTCTCTAGTAGTAAATAATTCGTTTTAACTTCTGGTTTGTGGGAGGTGACCACTACCATAGCCACCTGAAGTGGCTTCTTCATTCTTGGTGGTCTACTTTGCTGGATTCTTACAGAGGGGTCCTTGTGACACTTTGGTCCTTCTTTGCTGTATAAGGAATGGTATTGCCTGGAGCCACTGGCCGGGTCCCTCTGAAGCCTTTCCTGGCCAACTCTCTTCAGTCGTGAACTCACCTCCCAAACCTCCAGCCTGTACCTCCAATGCTGTCACCATCACCAGCCAAAGGGATCAGTCAGGGCCATGTTCCTGCATAGAGGACACGCTTTCCCAACATGACCCCATTGTCCCTGGTTTTGGAGGCTTGCCTGCAGAGTCTCGCAGGCCACCCTCCCACCACGGGGTAAGGCAGCACACTGTTAGCTGAGAGCAGAATCGGTGCTGGAGTTAAATTCCCATGGGCTGGGCCGCTTCTCTTTGAGGGTTCTCACTGAAGGACTGGGTTCAGGGCCATGGTTTCCAGGGGAGGGCAGGTCTGTGGAGGATACCCTAGCTGCTAGACTGTGGTCCACTACCAAGTGAGGGAAGTGTTAAGTTTTCTGTCCTCCGGACAATAATCCTCAGCCACCTTTTTTGCCAGACTTGGGCACGTGGGTCAAGACCAAAGCACTGGGTCACCCATCGCCTCAGACACTTCTCCAGAGTTTCCATGCTGCCAAGGTCCTCTGCTCACTGCCATCTCAGTGTGACTGGAGCTGGGGGAAGGAGAGCATCTCCAGTGTGGTTGTAATCTGCCTTCTGCCGACAGACTTGCTGGGTGTGGCTCCTCGTGGGGTGTGTGGGGACTGGCAGGGTTGGTTTACTGTGGCTTGGGACTGAGGCTCCTGATTGACAGGGCTCCAGGCAGACTTCTTCAAAGCAGGTGAGGAAGCCCACCCCTCAGAGCTGCTCCCTGGGGACAGGGGGCTTGTACTGCAGGACCTCAGTTTCCTACTCTGTAGCATGGGGATGACATGTCCACGAGAAGGAGTCGAGGACTGGGTAAGGTAGCATACAAAACACCTCTAGAATGGTATGTGGTTTAAATTTGGTTTTTCCCCCAAAGCAAAGCAACAGATTTTAATTTTCAGGTTCCCTCCTCATCACTGTCTTTGTACCCAGATGTTTCCTTGCCTTGATGAAAAATGCATGTGAACACACTCATCATTTCAAGAATGTTCTCCCACGTCCTAGCCATTGGCACAACTGCTTTATCTGTTTACACTATCTTTTTGGTGCTGCCATACTTACATAGCAGTAGAACAGAATAAAGTTTTGCTTTCTTTTTTTTTGCTCAGTTTTTCTGTGTTGTCATGGAGCCTGTGGCATGTCGTTTATGGCTGCATACTGGCTCCTTGAGCTGATCCACTTTAATACTTAACCATTGCCATACTGATACTGCCAGAAAAATATAGGCATGATGTTTTCCTTTTCATTTTGTTCCCTGGGACCGATGGATCTGGCGGAGTTGCTTTACTGAACCCGAGAGAGCATGAATTGATGGCAGCATGGCGGAGCAGTGGGTTTTTCTTTAAGAGCAATGTGGCTCCTACCCAGGCAGGGCAGGGGTCTACAAGTTGCTGTTGCTCTAATTTGCATCCTTTTCATTCCTCCTGAGGATGAGCAGTTTCCCCTGCTGGACCACTGGTCACATTCTCCTCCTTACCTGCTCCTGTCCCTGCTCTGTGTCTCCTTTGGGACATGGTGAGGAGCACTGAGAAGTGGAGTCTGCTGTTGGTCTTTCCTTGGGTGCTGCCGCCCTTTGCATTGAGGCTCACAGGGATAGAAGGTTGACAGTGTCCATGTCTAGGGAACACATATTAAATGGGATCATTAAAGACATACTTACTTAATGCACACTAAGCCTCCCAAGAATTCTCCTGTGTAATCACAGTAAATACATTTTTGATGACAGATCTGGTATTTGCATTCTGGAAGTGGCTCTAGGAATTCTAAGCTGAATGCATTTTTAATTGTCCTGCACTCAATGGGCCTCATGTTTGTGGCATTTTATTCCAGCTCCCATGATCCATCCATTAGCTCATTCTTCTTGTGGGGGGATCCCTGTGTCCAGCCTCAGGTCTCTTTGAGCCAGTACAAGAGGCTGGAGTGGGGAAGGTAGCAAGACTTGGGGAAGTCCTTGGTTTGCACCATGGAATTGAAGTCCCTTCCTTCTTCCCTTTCTCCCAGACTAATGGCACCTAGCTGACCTCTCCTCCCTCAAACTAGGCTGTCACTTGAGTCCATCTGTCCATGCTCATAACGGTCTCGATGCAGTGGATAGTCCTGTAATGAATGACCAAACAACATAAATGGACTCTCTCGCAGTCCCAGAAGCCAAAGCCCAAACCAAGGTGTGTCAGGGTAGCGCTTCTGAAGGCAGGAGTGGAGGACTCTTCTGTCCCTGCCAGCTCCTGGTGGCTGTACCACCCCATCCCTGCCTCCCCCATCTCATGCCTTCTCCCTGTGTGTCTCTCCTTTATGTGGTCCTTCTAAGGACACTGACTATGGGATTCAGGGCCTAGTCACAGAATCCAGGATGGTGTCATCCCAGGATTCTTAACTCAGTCTCATTTGCGAAGACCCCTTTGCAAAACAAGATTCCAGTTCCAAGTCGTGGGGTTCAGGGTGTGGACATCTCTTTTGAGGGCTACTATTTGGCTCACTATCTAGTTCCTCACTAAACTCTGGGGGTGCCACCTGGATTGGATTTTCTAAATGGCCCTGCATTCCCCATCTCTCCACCCCTCAGTTACCCTTCCTTCCTGCCTCTACATCCACAGCTGGGTCCAGCAGCCCTTTCCAGCTTTCTACCCTGCCACTCCATCTTCTCTCCTTGCAAGGCCCAGGGTCTTGAGAGAGGCACAAGTACGTCCTTGTCCTGCTTGCTCTTCCTTGGTTGCAGCTCACCACCTGCCCAAACCCTTCTCTGCCCAAGCCAAGGGGTGGTAGGAGGAGCCAGGAACTATGGAGGGAACATAGAAGAATGTGAGCCCTCCTGGTGCCTCTAAAGAGTGACATTTGTATTCACTACAAAATAGAGCGGTAAAAGATAACTATAAATAAGCATTATTGAAATACAGAAATTCTGAGCAAATATTCTGTAAATGTTGACCCACCCTGCTCCCTGCCCTCTGCCTCAGCTATGGGATGTTGGTAGGTGAGCCCCCGCTGTAGGCACCACTTGCCAGTGCACCCCTCTGTGGTGACAGTGAGTGACTGGTGGAACTGAAAGGATTCCCAGGACTCTGAACTCTCAGTTTTAAAACTGGGATGAACTCTCAGTTTTAAAACTGGGACCAGTCCTGGGAACGAACTTTTCCCCTGAAACAGAGTCTCCAAGGCTGGCTATGTACAAGTCCTCCACGCCCAAGGTCTTCACTGTTGTCCTCAGCCTCTTTTGACATTGTTTCTCCAGTTGCTTCCCACACAACTGTATTTCTGTTGACCTCTGGGCATGTGTGTGCTTTCTAATAGGAGTAAGATCACCACCCTTCAAGAGCCAGTGTTGGCCCCCTGGGGGCGCTGTTGTTCCCAGTGAAAAGGCCAAACTAGAGATGAAGTCTCTCACCTTCCCAGCATAGGATTCATGGTACCCTGTTGAGGTGTGGATTCTGATGCTGGAGTTTGGGGGCTGGGGGGGGCCTGAGACCACATTTTAAACAAGTTTTAGGAGACAGATGCTGCTGGTCTGTGGAGTAGTAAGTGCTGGTGGTTCTGGATCACCCAGGAGTCTTAGCAATGCTAAGTGGCCTGCTGTGGGCACCTGGGCCAGGGCCTGTGCATATTGTAGCTCCCTGCCTGGTGTGCACATGGCACTGACCCTTGGGTCCTGGCTTCTTGCTCATATTCAATCTCAGCATACAGCTCTTTTCCTCAAAGGTGCCATTCTGCCACTCAGTGTAGAGAATTTTTTGTCACACCTCTCAATGAAGTGTGGGTGTTCTTGTTTAGGGTTTGTCTCCTGCCTCTGCTGGAACTTGAGCCAGTTAATCACATGGTACCCAGGACCAAGCACTGATCTTGCACAAGGGATGCATGTTAGGCATTGAATGGACAGATGGACAGATGGATGGACAGGTGGGTGGATGGATGGATGGACACAAGGATGGATGGATGGATGAGTGGATGGATGGATACAAGGATGGATGGATGGATGGATGAGTGGATGGACAGATGCATGGATGAACGAATGGGTATATGTATGTGTATGTATGTATGCATGGATGGATGGATGGGTGGATGTATGTATGTATGTATGTATGGGTGGGTGGGTGGATGGATGCATGGATGAATAGAT